TATATATATATATATATATAATTGGATAACAATCTATAAATAATATAAAGTGTTCTTACCGGGAATCCGAGGTAGGGATGATCCGCTGGGTAAGATCGGTGAGCCTCCTTCACTGGTACGCTGATGCTCCAAGATGGGGGTGTTACCTGCAAAAAAGACTCCGATGCTAAAGTTAGGGTTTGTGTGAATATGAGTCTCGTATAAATAATGCACGTAGCTTTGTGTGTATTAGGGTTTTGTTGGGCCTTGGGCCCGAGATCAGTTTATGACCTAATTGGATAGCGAGCCGATGTCACATAGCGCGTGTCCGAAGTCGCTCCGCGCTGTGATGTCGAGCTCAAGCTCGGCATAGCAGTACGGATAGTACACTAGCCCCCCGAACTCCGAAGACTGTAGGTCGAGGAGTTAAGACCGAGCTCGACAAGGGGTCGTGACTTTTCACGTACGCCTATTTGTCATGACGCCATGTGTCATAACCGTCACCTCGTTCCCATAACGCATGGGCGGCGCGGTGACAAGATTGTATTTTTATTTGTTTTATGACGTGGCCTCTTTGGGCCGATGTGGTGTTCCGATGTCCATGTTTCATGGTCGGGCTGAGGAGCTCGGCAATAATGAGCTTACTGCTTGGTTAGACTGGTAAACCTTTGACCGAGTCAGCAGATTAGTGAGGGACAAGTCGGCAACTCGGCTGGCCAGTACATAAAGGAAACAACTTCTTTTCTCTAAAAATATTTTAATAATTTTTACAAAATTCAATTGTTATACATTATAAAAAAAAATATATAAAATATTAAGAAAAAATGGATAAAAATAAACATATTTTTATGTAAAAAAAACTAATTTTTTTAAAATATTTCAACAAATTTTACTAAAAGTAAAAGAAAAAAAATTATATATGTTAATATTTGTGATTATACGTCTATTAAAAGTAAACAAATCTACAAACACTTCTCTAAAAACTTAACAACGTCATCCCTCCAAAAACTTCTTTCAAAAACTCCTTCCAAAATTTTATAATAATTAAACCATATTCCGATTAACCATTGAAAGGCTAATATATTAATAAAAAAAATATAAGAATAATAAATATTTTAATATTTGTTTTTGTAAAATATTTTATAGTGTAAATAAGAATCAAGAAAAATATTTAATATTTATTTTTACTAATATAAAATTAAATTAAATTATAAAAGAATGTTTTTTTTAGATTTAGGGTTTAATATTAAATTATTTAAAATATTTGGACAAATTCAATAAACATTTCATAATTTAAATGATTATTGATTATTATTAAATTTTCATTTCAATATTATTATGACAAATTATTTTCCGTTTTAATATTATTCTTCATTTCATCAAAATTTAAAAAAAATATATATATATATATATATATATATTTGTGAATTTATAATATTTTAATAACAAAATAATATTTTAAATGAATTCATATTATATATATAATATGATTAAATTATATAATATATTATATTAAAGTATAAATTATATTGTATTCAAAATATTATTTGATTTAAAATTCAAATAAAACTATTAACTATTACAGTTTAAAGAAAACCATTAAAATATATATGCATATATATAT